GGCTGAGGCAGGAGACTCGCTTGAACCCAGGAGTTGGAGGTTGCTGTGAGCTGTGATGCCATGGCACTCTACCCAGGGGGTTAGCTTGAGGCTCCGTCTAAAAAAAAAAAGAACTTAGGAAAAATAAAGAATCTGAACTGTAGAAAGGCTGTTGGTGCTGAAGGCTTGAAGGTCACACAGCTATTAAGTAAAAGATCCAATATGTGCAGCGAGGTCTGTGGATGTGGAGAATCCACGTATCTCCCACGGCACCATCTGCCACTCACCCTCATCCCATCTCTGGAAGGTCCTCCTGGGGATTTGAAAATGCAGAGGGTGGGAGGACGAGTGTCCCTCTATGGCCCTAAAGATCTGGGACATCTTGCATTACTATTGTTATTATTCTTAATACTTTGTTGCAGCAATCGTCTGATTTCTTTTTCTGAATGTATTTATCTTCATTCATTCTCTATGAGGTTTTTGTTTCTAGTCCTTATCTTAAACATTGTTATTGTTGTTACATTTTAAGCCTTTTTAATTTTGTGAAGGTAAAAAGGGGAAACCTAATAACACATGTATATGTAAAAATAAAAAAGAAAGAAAGATCTGGAACACACACACAGTCCTTCCGTGGATTGCTCCAGGCACCACCACCTTCTCCATGACAATAGGCTGGATCTGGGACACACACCCCCAACCTCCTCTAGACCAAACTCAAGGCTCCCTCAGGCTTTGGTTACTTCAGGGTTTGCTTGAGTCTGGTTTTCTCTGGGCTGTGATGCCCTAAGCGTGGCACACACTGTGGTTTATTCTGCTCCCTCCTTCCTATAAGAGCTCAGCAGTCTGCTGTGCCCACCACTCTGCTGTCTACCAGGAGGGAGAGGTGCCATTCACCCAAAAGATGGGCTTAGGGGAACTGAATGCTCCACCCTCTGTGAAAGAGGGATGGGAATTCAGGACCAATCCAGCTGAATAGATAATGACAAAAGCTGAAAACCAAAGCTAAAGAGCTGATTGGCAATTCACACAGAGGGCTGGGCGGATCACTAGGACACATCCTGTTCTGTCCTTCTGGAGGCTTGAGGGACAGACAGATCCAGCATGAATCTCAGGGCAGTCCTCTTAGCTGCTTGCCTAATGTGTGCGATCAGAACAAAACTGAACACAGAAATCGCAGAGGAGACAACTGTCTATCACCCGTACGTGGCTTGCACCCAGAGTGAGGCCATTGACTCTGATGAGAAAGGTGATCAGGAAGCCTGACTTCTTGTGAGGCCCTGGTGCTGCAGGTGCTGCTGGCAGGGCTATTTTGGCCACTTTGCCTATAACTTGGGGCTGTTCTGGGGCATTTTTGTTAGACCCACTTCAGTGCTGTCTGAGCACTCTGGGAGGCAGCTAGTGGCAAGCCAGGCAGCAGAAAGTGGATTAAGGAGGCAATGCTTCCGGATGTGACCATGGATAACTGGCTGGGAAGTAACATGAAAAGCCTCATGTCACCTGGTCTGAACCAGTTCTTAGGCCAGGCAACCAGCAAGCTAAAGTGGAAACTCTCATCTTCTCCCACCCCTATTTGAAATTCCTCATCTTTTCCTGGCAGGCCAATTTAACCTTTGACCCAGCAGCTCTACTGCCTGGGGCCTCACCCAAGAGTCCTGGACTCAAGGCCGTGGTGTCACCATTTCACAGCCCGCCTTCCACCCCCAGCAGCCCAGGCGTGCGGCCTCGGCCCGGCGAGGCAGAGGAGGTGCCCGTCAGCTTTGACCAGCCTCCCGAAGGCAGTCATCTGCCCTCTTACAATAAGGTAAATTCCAGTCCCGGTGTACCGTGGTGCATCTGGAGATGTGGGGACTGGCACTCGTGCACTTTCTCTATACTGTTACTATCCTAGAGAAAAGAGGAAACCTTTGGAGCTATAGTCAGAGCTAGTTTTAATAGAAGTGAGATTTGTCCTGTCCTTTGCTAGTGGACTAAGATCACTAGCCCACCTCACTTATCTTCCCTCCTTGTAACTGTGCCATTCACCCCAAGGGCAGGCTTGGGAGATTGAGTGCTGCAGCCCCTATGGAGAGAGGGGTGGGAACTCAGGGCTGATCCCAGCTGTACAGATAGTTAACATCAAAAGCTGAAAACAGGCTCGGCGCCTGTGGCTCAAGCGGCTAAGGCGCCAGCCACATACACCTAAGGTAGCAGGTTCGAATCCCCAGCCCAGGCCCGCCAAACAACAATGATGGCTGCAACCAAAAAATGGCCGGCCGTTGTGGCGGGCGCCTGTGGTCCCAGCTACTTGGGAGGCGGAGGCAGGAGACTCGCTTGAGCCCAGGAGTTGGAGGTTGCTGTGAGCGTGATGCCATGGCACTCTATCCAGGGGGATAGCTTGAGGCTCCATCTCAAAAAAAAAAAAAAAAAAAAAGCTGAAAACAAAAGCTAAAGACCTGCTCAGCCTTCACACAGAGGGCGGGGCAGATCACTAGGACTCCAACCATCTCGACCTGGCCTGAGGGGAGGAGTCTCACATGTCCTGATATGGGCATGGACCATTCATACTGCAGCTTGCCCAGCTAGGGAACATCCAAACGGTCCCCTTTGTGAAGAGTACGTGCATGGCAGGGCTGATTTCTGCAGCTGCTGCCCTGACCCTTTGTGCATCCTTTCTCTTCCCCTGGCCCTGTAGGGGAAGAGAGCATCAGAGATACAGCCCAGGCAGGTACTCAGCAAATGTGTGCCAGGGCCACACTGGGGCTGAGATGTTAGGGGGTCTGATGCCAGGGAATCCTAAATGTGTATGGCTTTGGAATTAAGGATGCAGAAGTTAGATCTTCTAGGCCATCCCAGGAGATCCATCCAGCAAAAAAAGCCAAAGGTGTAGAAGAGAGAGAACCCAAGGAAATAAACTGGTGGAAAGAAGGTGATGGGGCAGGCTTGTGGCTGTTAGCAAGGGACAGAGTAGATGGAGGTCTTCTAGCCTGAGGTGTTGGAGACTCCTTGATGGAACCAAGCAAGCATCACATTCTCACAGGGTGCCTGGTAGCAAGTAGGGGCCGGGAGGGAGGAGCTGCTACCTGGTCATAATACCAAAGGCTTTAGCCTTCTGACACTAGCAAGGCAGTGGGTAAAGTTACTTGTGAACCTGGCCGGCCATAGGGACCAGGGCCTGCAGAGCTGGCCCCATGGTGGTCTCATGAAAGGGGCCAGGAGGCCCTTAAAAGCCAAGTATTCATTCCAAACCTCTTGGATTGACAAAAAACCAGTGGGCAACATGGATTCTGAAATTCAAATGCTTCCCAGAGAGGATGTCATCTTCTGGCAGGTCAGCGGGGTGCTCCTAAGGAATAGCTCTGACGAGGGTACACCTGATCCCTGGAAAATAAAGCCCTCTGGCTGCTCAGTACTCCCAGTGTCAGCCGGTTGTCGGGGGTGGGGGTGGGGGGTGGCAGGGGCTGAGTGGACAAAGGAAGAAGCTGGTCACCTGCTGTCCAACTCAGCACCCAGGAGGGCCCTGCTCCAGGGCCTGGCCATCAGCAGGCTTCTAGCCCTCTTCTCTTCAATTCTTGTCAAAGTATAATTTTCAAACTGTTAAAATATGGTCTTAGACAAAACAGGGGGAGATTTTATTCCGTTTATCAGTTTAGAAGGAAACCTGTGAGATGGTAAAGTTCACCCAAAGAGCATTCAAAGAACTAGTTATTTATAGGCAATTTTTAAAAACTATTAAAATTGTTACATTAGATACTGAATTGGTTAAAGTTTTACAGCGCAGTAAAATCATAAGTTATCTTTTTTACTAGATGGAAAGCATTTGCATCTCCATAAGACAAAAGTCTGCAGGTTACCCTGTAATTTCACAATCCCATAGGGCTCTAACCTGTAATAAATCACAGACTATGGCACTTTCTCCTAGGAAATTAGCTGACCCGTGGCTGGGCTTGTTAATAAGTGCCTTAGACTGACGCTAAAGGGATGTGCAGTCCTCTTCTCGGCCTTTTTTACAGGTTTTGGATAATTTCGCTCATCCTCTTCTTCCAGGTACGGACGAGGGGCTCCATCAAAAGGCGCCCCCCCTCCAGGCGGTTCCGAAGGTCTCAGTCGGACTGTGGGGACCTGGGAGAGTACAGGGCCACAGAGTCATCTCAGGAGAATGGTGCCACAGAAGAGAACGGGGAGGAGGTGTTCACCTCCAAGAGCAAGGCCCCAGGATCGCCTCCATCCAGTGAGGGGGCAGAGGGAGAGGGAGGGAGGAGCCACCCAGAACCTTTGGAAAAGCCCCCTCTGAGGAGGACAGAGAAGCAGGAGAAGGATGGGGCCGCAGAGGAGGCCAAGCTCAGTGCCCCGGAGGAGGCCCCGGGACCAGCCCAAACCATCTCCAGCCCAAAGGCAGAGAATGGGTGTGGGAGCCCCAGTGAGGAAGACCGAGCCGGAGAGGAAAGGGAGACCGGAGAGGCTATGGAGGTGAAAAAGGAGGGGGAGCCAAGGGCAGAGGCCAGGCCTGGACATGAGGCCCACGACACACAGAAGCCAGAAGAGGGAGCCGTCATGGAGAGGCCCCCAGAGAGTCCCCCCGGAGGAGTGGAGGGAGACAACAGCCCCAAGCTGGAGAAGGACAAGAAAAAGCAAGAGGAGGGGGCGGTTCTCGAGCCAGGCTGCAACCCCGGGACTGGCCATGCCCAGCTGGAGACCAGCAGCGAGGTCCAGGACGGGCTCTCGTCTCCCAGGGTGGAGGTAGGTGGCCCCACCTGTTCACAAAGAGGGTGGGGCCAGGGCCAAGGCATCCCTTTATCGTGCACCCTGCTCCTCACAGTCCCCTTGCAAGTCAGATTAGGGGGCAGAAACAAGGGCACCAGGCTCCCTCCTGTCCCGACTGGATGGAGACAGGCTGTCCCTGAGGCTGAAGAGACAAAAGGACAGAAAAGGGAAATGTGTCTTGTGCTCTCCCCAGCTTCTCACTGACTCAGCGTTCTGGCACAGCTCAGGGACCCGAGGTCTGCAGATGCCTGCCCAAGGTCTGCGGAGGGCAGGGCGCCAGACCCACTGCTGCGGGGGTCAGAGATGAACAGGAGGGCTCCTTTCCAAACAGCGCACAGCCAGGCACATGAGACCACGGCCCCTTCGTGTGCCTTAACAGGGTAGGAGGTGGCAGTGGGCAGGGGCATTCCCAGGGGAGCCCCAAGCTCAAGGGCGGAGGAAGGATCTGTGTGTCTAAGAAGTTGGGGGTGCTTCAGGGCCAAGGTGGCGTTTGAGTTAGGCCTTATAGAAGGAGGCTATGAGTGACATTAACTCACTCATAGGACCTGGGTACCTGCTACACAGGAGGGGGAGGGAGATGACTCAATGCCCCCCATCCCCCGCCATGTCTGGGCCCTTATTCATAGGCACCCACTTCACCTGGCTGTCCCCCACGGGCTCCCAGAAGCCCATCTCGAGCTCTAGGGGCAGTGTCCCACCTCCACCCCCTGTCTCTGGCAACTCAACAACCCAGTCACCTGCAAGTGCTTCCCCTTTTTAGTGCATTCATTCATTCATTCATTCACCCAAGCCCTTAGCGTCCCACTTCTGGCTTCCTACTTCCACTGTTTTTCTTTTTCCAGCCTATATAATTCCTTCTCTAGACAGTAACCAGAGGGTTGGTTGGTTAGTTTGTATCATCTACTCTTTGCTAAAATTACTCACCTCTTGTAACAGAGTTGTTGAAACAGATTACCACAAACTTGATGGGAAACAATAGAGAAGTACTTTCCCACAGCTCTAGAGGCCAGGATTCCAAAATTAAGATGTGGTGGAGGTGGTTCCCTCTGGAAGTTCTGGGGAGAATCCATTCCTCTCCCCTGAGTTTCTGCAGCTGCCTGCCACCCTTGTGATCTTTCCTTGCCTCTCCCAGCTTGGCTGCCTGCGATCCGTTTGCCGATGGCATTGGTGGCATAGAGGAGAGCATAGCTGCCCTCCTAGGCTTGCAGAGGGCGTTGGTGGCATACAGGAGTGCATAGCTGCCCTCCTAGGCTTGCAGAGGGCGTTGGTGGCAGAACGGTGAGCATAGCTGCCCTCCTAGGCTTGCAGAGGGCGTTGGTGGCATACAGGAGAGCATAGCTGCCCTCCTAGGCTTGCAGAGGGCATTGGTGGCAGAGCGGTGAGCATAGCTGCCCTCCTAGGCTTGCAGAGGGCGTTGGTGGCATAGAGGAGAGCATAGCTGCCCTCCTAGGCTTGCAGAGGGCGTTGGTGGCATAGAGGAGAGCATAGCTGCCCTCCTAGGCTTGCAGAGGGCATTGGTGGCAGAGCGGTGAGCATAGCTGCCCTCCTAGGCTTGCAGATGTTTCCCTCCAGTCTCTGCCTCCATCCATCATGTGGCCTTTCATTGTGCCTGTGGGTCTCACACTTCCTCCTTCTTTCTTTTATAAAGACACCAGTCAGTAGATGCAGGGCCCACCCTAGGTGGAGAAACGCCTCATCTTGAGATCCTTAATGGCATAAGCAATGGCCCCATTTCCAAATCAGGTGACATTCACAGGTACTAGGGGTTAGGATATCACCCCCGGCCCCCTTGGCAGCCAACTCTCCCCCTCACTGTGCTCCAGCCATGTCAATACTTTTTTGTTCTTCAAATACGCCAGGCTCACTCCCACCTCAGAGGTCTTTCTAGGTTCCCTCTGCCTAGAACATTCCTGATCCTCACGCGGCCACTTCCTACCCTACATCAGATCTCAGCTCAGATGACCCCTCTTCACTTAGGCCTATCTGGACCACTCAGGCTGAAGGAAACTACCCCGCCTCCAGTTACCCTCCCCCACCATTCCCCGTAGTTTTATAGAGGGAGAAACCAAAGCTCAACACGGTATGCATCACTGGAATTCTCCTGTTTATTTTTTTATTCTTTCTCAACTTTTCCCTCACTGCATCCCCAGTATGGACTATAGAACCTGGAACATAGTAGGTTCTCAAGAAAACATTTGTTGACTGAATGTGTGAATTTTTTTTTTAATTTCTTATAGCATAACAGTATATATTAATGCAATCATGGGGTACAATGTGCTGTTTTCATATACATTTTGAAATACTCTCATCAAACTGGTTAACATAACCTTCATGTCATTTTCTTAGTTATTGAGTTAAGACATTCATACTCTGCTTTTAGAAAGATTCATTTGTACCCTTGTAAGATAAACCATAGAGATGATCCCATCAATCACCTTCCCTCCACCCATCCACCCCCCTTACCTCCTCTCTCCCACCCCCTTCCCATATTCTAAGGCTATAATTAGGTTATGACATTCCTATAAAAGCTATCAATTAGTTTCATAATAGGGCTGTGTACATTGGATACTTTTTCTTCCATTCTTGAGATGCTTTGCTAAGAAGAACATTTTCTAATTCCATCCATATAAACATGAAGGAGGTAAAGTCTCCATCTTTCTTTAGGGCTGCATAGTATTCTATGGTGTACATGTACCACAATTTATTGATCCATTTGTGGGTCAATGGGCATTTGGGCGAATGTGTGAATTTTAAAAGAAGAGACAAAACTACCTGACCCCTCCTCCCCCCAAAAAACCCATTCTCTAATGATACAACCTTCAGTCTAAGAGGAATGGAGGTGTTTGTAAGGGCCCTCACATTATTCTCAATCATACTAGATTGGGCAGGAAAAAGTGTAAGTCTGAAAGACTCAGGAGGTATGACTGAGACCCCTAGGTTGAGTCTTTAAGGAAGGATGCACTATATTTCTTTAATTCTTTCTATTCTAACTGAACAGCCCTTCAATTGATTTAACATGAGCAATCTTTAGATTTAGGATCTTTTGGAGCTGGGAGATTTCTCTATGTCTTCAGAAGACAAATACAGGCCTCAACCCCTTGTCCTTTTTGTGGATGAAACCACTGGGTTCAAATAGTTAGCTGTCAGTGGTTGCTACATCTTACATTCAAGGTAGGAGGCATCTGCCTTGCCAGGAGACCTTCCCATCGCACTAACAGCATTTTGCAATCCTGAGGGGTTAAAAAGTCATCTTGGCTGAAAAGCTATCTAGACTTTCTGAAAGAGAACAAGGCTTCCTGGCTGGATGCAATGATGCACACCCTTAATCCTAGCACTCTGGGAGGCCAAGGTGGGGAGATCTCTTGAGCTAAGGAGTTCAAGACCAGTCTGAGAAAGAGTGAGACCCTGTCTCTACTAAAAGTAGAAAAATTAGTCAGGCATTGTAGCAGGTACCTGTAGTCCCAGCTAGTTGGGAGGCTGAGGCAGGAGGATCACTTGATCCCAGAAGTTTGAGGTTGCTGTGAGCTGTGATGATAGCACTGCGCTGGAGCCCAGGTGACTGAGTGAGACTGTCTCAAAAAAAAAAAAAAGTAGAAGAAGGCTTCCACAGATACTCCAGGAGCTTTGGGACAGGGGCAGGCTCACTGGTAATGTCTTGAGCCTCAACACTTCTATTCCTGACAGAGCCCTTGCAAGGGAAAGAGAGTTCCCAGCACCCTCAGGAATACTCTTCTCCCAAATCAGGCGGCTCAGGTCAGAAAAGTGTGGCTCCCCTCTGTCCGTGTCTTTTACTCTTTGTATCCATCACTGAGATGAGAAACTTTGACCCTATTTAGTCCAATCCCCTTTGTCCATTGGATCCCATTTAGTCCAATCCCATCTGTCCATGTCTTTTATTCTCTATTTATCACTGAGATGTGAAACTTTGACCCCTTTTAGTCCAGTCCCTTTTATAAAGGAAGAAACCAAAACTCCAAGAGGGGACAGGTGTTGTCCAGGGTCATGGAACTCAATTGATGTTGACATACAGGGCACCTGCTATAGTCATCAGAGGTACAAAGTACCTGATGTTCATCACTTATTTAATTTGGAAGGGGAATTGTCTCCAATCCTCTTTCTCCTTCCCAAACCTAGACAAGGTTAGGATCTCCAGAATTATTACAAGCTAGGCCATTGGGCTGCGAGCTTCCCCAGATATCCATGCCTGTCCTAAGTGTTTCCTGGATCCCTCAGAGGAGGCACACACCACTAAGCCATTTTCCAATCCCTTAATCTAATCCCTATCTTGTTCCTTGGTTGATAGAAATACAAAGATCAAGGCTGGGTGAGGTGACTCATGCCTATAATCCTAGCACTTTAGGAGGCCAAGTCAGGTGGATTGCATGAGCTCCCAGGTTTGAGACCAGCCTGAGCAAGAGCGAAACCCCATCTCTAAAAACAGCCAGGCATTGTGGAGGGCACCTGTGGTCCCAGCTACTTGGGAGGCTGAGGCAAGAGAATTGCTTGAGCCCAAGAATTTGAGTTGCTGTGAGTTTTGATGCCTCTACCAAGGGTGACAAAGTGAGACTCTGTCTCAAAAAAAAGAAAAAAGAAAGAAAGAAGTAGAACAATCAGACAAACTAATTGTGGTTGCATTCATGTAATCAACATCTGTTTATTCCTTTTATAACAGTGGTTCTCAACCTTTCTAATGCCACGACCCTTTAATACAGTTCCTCATGTTGTGGTGACCCCCAACCATAAAATTATTTTCGTTGCTACTTCATAACTGTAATTTTGCTACTGTTGTGAATCGTAATTTAAATATCTGATATGCAGGATGGTCTTAGGTGACCCCTGTGAAAGGGTCGTTCGACCCCCAAAGGGGTCATGACCCACAGGTTGAGAACTGCTGTCCTATAGGATCTAGTTATCCCTACTATGTGAGATACTAGAGGTTCAAAGATGAAAAAGGCTGAGGCATAAACAAATAATGATGAGATGGTACCCCTCAAACGTGGCTCTGTAACACACAGAGTGTGGAGAAATTCACTCTTCAGGAGAAAGCAGGGGAAGGTTTCGTAAGTGTGCCACAGGCATTACCTTCCTGTTGTGCCCCCCCCACTAGCATTTTAACATTTCATGCTGAAAGAAGGAGCCATCTGGGGATTTCAATCAAGGGGCCAGCTGGACATATCAAGTCGCTGCACTTAGGCTTCCATTTATAAGGAAAAGTAGCCCTGGAAAGAGGGCACTGATACAACTCGAATACTTCAAATAAATGTAACAAGTGTTTCTCAAATGCCCTCTCAGCCTCCAGTACTGTGTGGGGCACTCAACCACGGCAAAGACAAACATGTTTTGACATCACATCTGAGATTTTGTCGTACTAGACTAGTGAGTGCTGACTTCCTAATTGCCTGATTCAGTTGCTTTTCCGAGTCAGTTGCTTTCTCCCATCCAAGCACTAACCAGGCCCAGCTCTCCTTAGCGTCTGAGATTATACGTGAGATTGGCATGTTCAGGGTGCGATGGCTGTCAACTCTCCTTGCTTTTCAACATTTGATTTGAAATTTTTTTCTCCCTAAACTGATAAGACACAACCTCCTCCTCAGAGTCCCTTACCCGTGTAACTGTGTAGTGTTTACTTTGCTCTCTCCCCTTTCTCCTCCCTCTCAGTTAACTGGGCATGTGGAAGGGACTCTTGGCCCTTAACCCTTCTTGGTTTTCCCAAGGACACTCTCCCCTGCATTCTCACTTTTACCTTCCTGAGCCAGGAGGCTCTCCTTCCCTGAGATCCTTCTCCCTCTCCTCTCACCACACCTCTATCTTCCCCTCCATGTGCCTTGGCTGATTGCTCCAAGGACAAATGCCTCAGCTCCTTACAAATCTTGTCACCTCCATTGTAGTCCCTGAGGATGGCCCCCATTACATCTCACCTTCTACCAGGCTTACATCATAAATGTTTCTGGTTTTCAGCTAGAGAACTGATAAGACCTGAGTCCCAGCACAGCTTCTAGCACAAAATGAGCTCGAAGTAATACCTTCAAGTATTGAATGACTATTGAGGACAGGTGTGGTGGCTCATGACCATAATCCCAGCACTTTAGGAGGCCAAAGTGGGAGGATCCCTTGAGGCCAGGAGTTTGAGACCAGCCTGGGCAATAGAGCAAAAAACATAAACAATTTTAAGAAAAAGATTGCCTGTGGAATAAATAGCTACATTGCTGTCCTTTCACTCAAGCTTCAGTCTTATTTTCAACCTTTTCTGTTCTTTTTCTATTTTTATGCTGCCAAAGAATCTGGCAGGATAATTTCAAGAAGAGGAATCTGAGTGGGAATGAGTGAGTAGGCCAGGCCAGAGGGTCATGGACGCCAGGCATCGAGAGATGGTCAGTATCACTGAGTAGTTTAGGATTCAAGCTCTGGTCCCTGGGTTGACATCCTGACTTCCTCATTTGCTAGGTATGTGACCTAGGGGAAGTCACTTAACTTCTCTGTGCCTTAACTGCTTCACCTATAACAGGGTTAATAGAAGCACCCACCTCATATGGCTTTGGTGAGGATTAAATGAGTTGGTTCATGTAAAAAAAAAAAAAAAAACTATGTCAGGCCATAGCATTCTTATTGCTGTCATTACTGGTACCACTCAGACAATATTATTATTGCCTGAACTGGGCTCCCTGAGGAAATATGCTAAGTGTCAGGATTTCCTCACCCTTTTCCTAATTAATTCTTTACTCCTCCGTTCACAGGGTGACTATCCTGTCCAGGACACTAAGATGTGAAGCAGAGCTCACTGTGCCCTCATGATGACGCTGCTGGAGACATCTCTTTGGAAGTAGCAGCAGCAAATGAAGCCATTGCAGAAGCAGAATACGCTGAGTGTCGGAGCGAGCCTGCAGACACAGGGTGGATTATTCCCAGCCTCCACACTGAATGTTCCCTCGTGGATGGAGATTAGATCTGAGGGCAGCAGACTTCTATCAGCTTGAGTTTATGTCATTTGATGCCCTGGGTTTCAGAAAGAAATTTATTTAAAACAATGCATTGTGATAACTCTCCAGGGGACACTGGTCAGCCTGTGGAGCCCTGGATAGGACCCACACCCACCCATCCCTGCTGGTGACCTCCGAACTGAGCTCAGATTTAGCTTATCAGATTTTGCTTATGTAAAATTATAGCCTTTATACTGCTCTAATGTTTGTATAGTCTCAAATATAAGTAAAAACTAATAGGTTTTAAGTGGTCAGAAACAAAAGAAAATAGTATTGCTGAAAATACAAATCCAGCAAGTGACAGGAGATCTTACATTTTATCAAGACCCTAGAGACAAACTTTTGTCTTGGTCCAAATTCAAGCTGGCCAACCAATTTTTAAAACATTGGACTAGAAGAGATAATGATCGAAACATTTTAAAAAATGTCTGTTCTATCAACAGCAGCATTTCCTGTCCTGTGGTTTTCTAGTTGCTGGCCACTGTGGGAGGTCACTGCCTCCACCTCCCTTGACGAGGCTGTGGAAGCTCCCATGAGAGGCAGGATGTCTGGTGGTTTCATGCTCTCAGCCTCATCTTATCCTAAAAGCAGAGCAGTGAGACCCAAACAATGTCTGATTTGTCCTGCAAGGATGAATGTTTCATTTCTAGAAGTTTACCCTGGAGCGTGAGTAGATGTTTCCTAGGAAGTGCCTTATGTGCCATGATGTGCACGATACATCATGAAAACATTTTTCCTAGTGAGTTGGGGTCTTTAGTCTGTTCTCACTGGATTGCTCTTGCTGTAATACCGTGTTTCCCCCAAAATAAGACCTACCCCAAAAATAAGCCCTAGCAGGATTTCTATACATTTGTTAAATATAAGCCCTACCCAAATATAGGACCTAGTGATGGGCGTGGCTATGCAGTCACGCCATGCATTTCGGCGTGGAGCATAAGACATCCCCTGAAAATAAGCCCTAGTGTGTCTTCTTGAGAAAATAAATATAAGACAGTGTCTTATTTTCAGGAAAACACGGTAATCTGTTTGGGGAGCATAGGAGGTTTTGCCAGGGACAAGAGGTTCGACTGCCCAGTCTTTAACTTACCCCTCCCCATCTTCATGTACCCCTGTTGAAAGATGTTAATCTAAATACATGTTTAATCTTTAAGGTTGGCCCTTATTCTGATTTGAGTATGTCAGTGTTTCAGTGTGCACATGTGGTAGTTGGAGTAACCGTTTTTCTGGAGGTCTGTTAGACCACACCCTACCTTGACTTCAAAAAACAGTCTCTCAGACAAAAAGGCCTTATGTCACCACTGGTACCTCAATTTTCTTGTCCCATTTTACAGTTTTTCTAACTCCCAGGATAGTGTTAATATTCGAGATCTATTTTTTCAAAACTAGTTTTAAGTAGTTTGTAACTTGCAACCAACTTACAACCTGATTGAGACTGATACTGTCATAGTTCTCATAAACTTTGGATTTTTAGCACAATTTGGGAAACATGTGAGTCAGTTATTTTGAGATTTATTAATTATCTATCTATCAATGATCTATCATCTATCTATCTATCTATCCCCTAAATAATACATGCTTTTATTTATATATGTCTTTGAGTTGTTTATACACACACATTTCTAGGCAAGTGCTCTGGGAATAAGTGCATGATTATGAGTGTGGGATGAAAAGGGCCACTTTCCCTTATTGAGAAAGGAATGGAAAGTGTGGGATATAGATAGGAAAATAAAACTGCGAGACCAGCCTAAGCAAGACCCTGGTCTCTACTAAAAGTGGAAAACTAGCTGGATGTTGCCTGTAGTTCAAACTACTCAAAAGGCTGAGGCAAGTGGATTGCTCGAGCCCAGAATTTTGAGGTTGCTGTGAGCTATGTCACCACAGCACCATACAAAGGGTAATAACAACAAAAAAATAGGTGAACATTTAACACAGCTGAATGAATGAGAACACCTAGCAGCTGAAGACAGGAACCCAACACAAACTAGCTGATGAAAAACAGAACTATATCCATCTATGGGTCTCTCACCCCTCCCCTCTTTTACTTAATACTGAACCATATAAGGAAAGTCCATGGATGGACCATTGCTGACATGGCTTCAGTCTCACAAGCGATGTCAGGAATCTGTCTTGATATTGGTCTCTGCTTTCCTCTGTGTTGGCTACAAGCAAGCTCCTCCCAGCCTGCAAGCCCAGTGAAGGAGCTTATTTCCAAATAACTGTGGGAAAAACATCCTGCCAGGGCTTTCCATAGGCCCTGTGTGGCTTCAGTGCTCACACCTGACCCAGTCATTTTGGCCAAAGAGATGCGGCGATCATGTGCCCTCTCCTGGAGCTGCGGCTAGATGAGCCAATTCTACAGTCTGTAAGGATGGCAAAGGGAACAGGCAGGGTGATTCCTCAACAAGAAAGATGCCAGGCAGGCAAAAAACAACAGGTGTTCCTTACAGGGCAAGACCTCAAATGCCAGATTATTCCATTGTTTGCTTCAAAATTAAATTTTGTTTGACCCCCAACTAGTACTAGTCAATTAGAACCAGGTAAAAATAGGATGAACAGAATATCTTTCTATGATATATGATTACATAGCTTATGAAGAAGTCAAGAGCAGTGATCAAAATTCAAATGCTACTCAAATAAAATAAGATTAAGTTTCACAAGCTACCCAAGAAAATCAGTCCCATCATTTTATTTAATAATGTGTTGTGGCTGGGCATGGTGACTTATACCATCAAGGCAGGAAGATTACATGAGGTTGGGAGTTCAAGACCAGCCTGAGCAAGAGTGAGACCTTGCCCCCCTCCCCAAATTTATTGCTGTGCCCAGAGCTAACCTGTAGCTCCACGGAAATAAAAATTAATATTATTATTCACTGTATACAGCACCTCATTCGTGGTAGGTGCTCAAAACGTATTTGTTAAACAATGAATGATTGAGCTAATTTCAGAGGTGGGAATTATTTTCAGCTGTCATGACTGCCCAACACCTCCCTTATCTGATACCAGATGCTTGAAATGTTATAATTAGCATCCTTCCCAGTGAAAATGCAAATGCTTCTGAGACAGAATTATTTTAAGCCTCCTTTATCATCCATACCTGGGTATGAATTGGTTTTTGAGACCCTTCCTAGAGGGGCTTACAAAAGAAGAGCAAAGTGCACAGAAGCCTAGGGGCAGGAAACCCCCTGACTTTCCAATTCTCCCTGGGGTAACCCAAGCTCACAGGGAGCCCAGTACTGTTCCTAACCAGAGCATTTATGGATACTGAGAAGACACCATTATTCCAGTTTTGCCCTCAAATCCCAGGAGAGCTGTTGGAACCCACTGTGGTTGAATGCACCAGAGAATTGTGGTTCTTTGAGGCTCCTCAGCGGAAGAAGAGATGATGAATAAATACATCATATGCCTATTCCCAGCAAGCTGGTCTATGCAAACTTACACTCAAAGGCGAAGGGAGTTGAGAGGCGAAAGAAAGAGACTGGCAAACCCACTTTCCCAGAAGGAAACATTTAATAGGGACTTACAAAGAATAGCCATGTCTTGGGTGACCTCCCAACTCATGGTGGATCCCCCTAATACTCCCCCTTAGACCCAGGGTTTATATAGGGAAGGAAGGTGCAGGACGATTGAAGTTGACCACTCAGGGAAAGGCCAGATTTGCCTAAGGTCAGGATTTATGGTTAAGTTTATGATAATATCAAAGTTGTTTTGAACTAAGGTAAATAAGTGAAAGTAGAAATCTTACCCCAGAACTGGGGTTAATAGGAAGTCCACATGGCAGACTAGCTTCTAAGATGGATTTGCTTGAGCCTGCAGATGCCTTATAGGGAAGAGAGAGCCACGTGACCTAATTCTGGAAAGTGGAGAGTCTTCTCGGTGGGTGGGAGAAGCTATGAGAGAAGGAGGATGTACAAGGAAGAGGTGGAGTGAGGCTAGGATTCCTGTAAGTAATGATTCTGGCCTTTCATGATGTAGTTTACCTAGAAATTTGAGAAAATTACTCCAACTTCAGTGAATCCATAAAGTCAGTTATCACACTTATGAATCAGATTGCTTCTGTTTGAAAGAATGTGTGGATTGAATTGCACTTTAAGTGGCGCTTAGAAACAAGATCCTAGAATGATTGTATATGGTTGGTACTTAAAGAATGGGTATTACCAATAGGCAGATGCTCATTCCCCTCTAAGAAAATAATGGTTCTTCAAACACTAAGACCTCTAGGATCTGTTGACTGTCTAAGAAAACCACTGGAGGGGTGCTGGACGGTGTCAGGCACATCCCCATTGTGGCTGCACCTGGCCTCTTGAGGAGTGACAGAAACAGTCTTATTGACAGACAACCCCTGGAAGCAGATGTGATAGGAAAGCACAAAGGGTTGCTTTGCATTGCTTCTAATTCTGTGTCATCTGTTTATTCTGTTGAGCACAAGGAAACACATGAGGTTTTGTTTGTTTTTGGAGACAGAGATTCCCTCTAGTACCCAGGCTACAGTGCCGTGGCATCAGCCTAGCTCACAGTAACCTCAAACTCTTGGGCTCAAGAGATCCTCCTGCCTCAGCCTCCCAGATAGCAGATGCCTGAACCAGGCCTAGCTAATTTTTCTATTTTTAGTAGAGATGGGGGTCTTACTCTTACTCAGGCTGGTCTCAAACTCCTGAGCTCAAAGCATCCTCCTGCCTCAGCCTCCCAGAGTGCTAGGATTACAGGCATGAGCCACTGCCTGCCTGGCTAGGAAACACATAGTTTTATGAGCCCTGTATTCTTTATGTTTAAAAATGTTAATTATCCTTTCTTTCTCATTATAAAAACATAGCATCTTTTGGAAAACTCCTGGGGTGAAAGAAAAAATTTTAAGAAGTAAATAAAAAATTATTTATAATTCCATTACTCAGGGATCATCAGTATTAATATTCTATAAATTTTCTTCTGGTGTTTTAAGTACATTGTACCATGTATATGTTTTGCTTTATTTTAATTCTTGGTTGTTACCAAATTGGAATCTCATAACGCCTAATTTTCTATCCTTTTTTGTAACTTACTTGCATGAGCATGTCTTCATAAACAATCAAAAGTTTGATCACGAAGACTATTTCCTTTTGTCTTACTTAACCCAGTAACATCTGGAGCAGGACTCTGTCTGTATGAAGCAGAGGAGGTAGTAAGATTTCCTGGTGGAGGTGAAGATATCCTAGTGGAAAATATGTCTTTTACAATCAAAGTCTGAGATTCATACACTTAATGACCTCATGGACTCGCAACACTTAAAACAATGAAAATTTCTCAATGAAACATGAAGGGCCTGAGGTAGCTTCAAGAATTCATTGATTCGAGAACAATTGATTGAGGATGACCCAGGGAATGGACTACAAAATTTAGAGAGAAGCATGAGATAAACCTCAGGAAAAGGATCACTGAAGGAAGCCTGATAGAAATGTGTTTAGTAAAAAGCAGCTGAAGCTGTTATAGGATATTGGACCAGAATCTGAAAAAAGACATACATTTTCAAGCAGATCCAAGTTTCCATTTAAACTAGGGCAAGGCTTGCAGTGAGTGAATCAAACCTACCAAGGCAACTGCCATGGCCTTCAAACCAATTTAGCACATAACCCCACAAGCAAGGAGGAAAGCAGGCTCAGAACGTGGTCTCAAGGCCAGTCCTGCTGCCAAGTTAGCAAGAAAAGTTCCTTTGAAAGTCAGACCCATGTAAGTAATTGTATTCTCACTTCCAAGGACTCATCATTCCTAGTCACAGCCAAATCTACTGCACTTAAACCTAAATTGGGTCAGAATTCAGCAGCAAGTAAACATTAGTTATAAAATAATCACTATTTCTCCACCAC